ATAATTGTTTACGATGAAATTAGGGCGCTGACTGGTTAAGAGATGCATAGGATACAAAATCATTCAGATGATTTTAGAACCATTAAGAAACAGATATTTTTTGCCAACCAAGATTCACCTCTTAACGGTTCAAATGCTGCCTCTTAATGAAACTATTAAAAGGTAAACAAACAACCCCTTACATTAACCATAATCACATTCAAGTTTATTACCAATTAGTAAAATTTGGAGTGGTCTTAAGGAGACTGGAACTAATGACTTATCCTTTATATGTCAGTTAGATGGAGAATCATTTAAAAGTCCATTAAATCATAGAAACTTCTAAATTGGTTTCTATATGTTGTTTCATATGTGAAAACAGTACGTGTAAAAATGCAATGTTGTTTCATATGTAAAAAGCTCAGATACACTTTTGACAAAATACTGTATAAAACAATGCTTTTTCACATTTGTTGTTTTCATATATGAAATAACAATGAAAACTGGTTTAATTGTAAGCCTATACGGATTATTGGGTTTGTAAAAGAATGAGAGTCTTGAGAAATAAGCTAACCCTACGGTGCTTTTTCTCCATCTTTTACCATTTTCTTTTCCAAATGTCCTACTTGTGTTTTCTCAATTAATTTTTCAACATGTCATTTTAAGAAATTTTACGTTATCGTCTGTCTTTTCAGCTTGTTCTTACAAAATTTAATTACTTTATCAGTTAGCAGCTAATTTAGTAGTCCACAACTACTTAACTAACTTATCTGTCAGCAACTAGTTCATCAGTTACTTTGTTATACATAGCTTTAGCCGATGATTAGCTTTAAGCTAAAAGGTAGCTTATTATCTTGTTTGCGGAAATGATGGCTTTTCCTAGATGAAATGCAAATTGGATTCATGGAACAGGTTCTTACGTGTAAATTGTTTGGGCGAGCTTGTACGCATCTCGATTAATCTGAGGACCCTGGAGAACAGTAAGGACTAGGGGTGCTCATGGGTTGGGTTGGTCGGGTTTTTGAGCACTCCTAGTAAGGACAATTCTAGTGAGCTAACTCCACAAGGTTTATAACATCATATTAAGGGTTTTAAGTTTATACTCGTTTATCTCGTATTACAAATTATCTATTAAAATAATTTAGTTTTATTCATGATCAAATAAAGTATTAAAACCATGAAATCAGATCGAATTGACAAGCTTTGTTTGGTCAGTTCTAGAAAATGTTGAATAAAGGACGTGCATCTCGATTCATAATTCTGTAAAAACCGAAACATATCTAACTATTTGCAAAATTGAAAGATTCTTGTATTACAATTATTTTGAATGTTACGTTTATGTCAATCATGACGTATGTGATATTATGATGATGAAAAACCATAACGTGTGACCACATGAAATGCTAGTGTACGTGTGTAAACACTTACACACAAGAATTTAGTGGTTTTAATAAATAAAACAAGGTTACATTTTTTTCGTGGTCAGTATTTGTTATAAAAAATTGATTATTAGTTTGATAAAAAAAAAACAATTCAGTAGAAATTCAATTATGAAGCTGATGAAAATAATCTTTTTATGCAAAATTTCATCATGATCGTTAATTACTATCCAGTATTTTTTTTTAGTATAAACGACCGACAAAAACTTTACCTGCCTATGAATCCATTTCACATCATGCAACCTAGCAAAGCAGACAATCGACCCTACATATACCTTTTTCCATATCTCCAGCATTATTTGTTTTAGTACGAGTACATCAGTCTGATAATGAAATTTTTATAAATTGAACCCCATATCCTGTTGAAAAATATGAGAAATGGTACAAATATTTTACAGTAAATGAAAATAGAATTATTTGTAGTAGAATATAATGTACTTTAATTTATGTAAAACATTTTTTTTTCCAAGAAAATGCAGAACATGTACGATAATGCGTTTTAAACAACAAGTCTTAACAGTATTATTTAATTTCATGCAGATAATATTATTTATATTTAAATTATGACTATCTTTTAAATAACAAGTCTTTAAATTATAATATATTTCGATTAATAAGAAACTTTGAAAATAAATATTTAGAGAGAGATGATATTTTATTAGATGAATGAAATATTTTAATAATATAATCAATGTTAATATTTATTTGGGAGGGGAAGGTTTTCAAAAAACTTGGTTTTCTACATAAAGTTCCCCCGTGAAGCTCATTGAATAAACTACTTCTATATCATTAAGCCACTATCAAACAATCATACATAATTGATTGAATAAGCTGTGGGTTCCATTAAGTTACCGATAAACAAACTCCTTATATTGTTGGCAAACATATACATGTCCTCGAATGACTTTCAAGTTTCAAATTCACGACAAATTCACACCAATCTTATGTATGTATACATAGAAAGAGAGGGGAGATCTTTTGTTAAGTAAAAAAAGTCGTGCTAACTTTATGAACTCGTTGGACCAATCAGAATCATTTTTTAGTCATGGTTACTTCAAATGTTATAGAGTCAATGATTAAAGGTATATGGGTATTTTTCATTTGTAAGTTATTTTATTGTATTAAATGAGATGTTACAAAAATAAATAATTACTTGCTCTTAGGGATGATATTTATATCATCATTTTCAAGATTCTCAATGATTATATTCAAATTAACTTGAATGATGGATGATCAAAATGAGCACAGTTACATTCAACATAATGATTCAGATGATCTCTTCGTTTCTGGTATTTTGAATGATATGTTCATTAATGAACCCAGTTTTACATAACGTTAATTAATGAACCCAATTCGTAAGATGTCCATACGTGAACCAGAGACATTAATACACAAATAATCAATCAAAGATTAATTAGTGAACAATTTTCATAACTACCGACTTTTATTGCTATCATATAAATGTTCATTGGTGAAATAATAAGTCGTTCATAAGGGAGCGTTTGGTACAGTAGACAGGACGTGATAGAACAAGACAGAGATCAATGTTCCATGTTTGACATGATTTTTATGTGAAACAGAGTGCAGGCATGTTCCACCGCTATCCCATGGAACAAGGTGGAACAGACTTATGTTTTGCCAATATAACCTTAAAATAAAACGTAATTTTCTTTTAAAACATCAAATACGGTTTTTTTTTACATTTTATTTATTCTTTAAAAAAATTTTATTCTATTTTATGTTTCTTAAACTTTCATTTTACTATCCTCAAAATATTATTTTTATAGGATTTCTATATTTTTATTAATTTATTAATTTATGTAATTTATTATATATTAATAATAATAAAAATAATGTAGATTAGAGATAAAAATAAAAAATTGGAAACTACATAAACTTTTTATTTGGTGGTATTTAAATTATTTTGACAAAAACTTTCTAATGATATATTCAATTATAAAAACAATTATTTTATTCAATTATAAAAACAATTATTTTATTATAATTTAATAGATTGTATAAACTAATTAAAATGAACAACTAATTAAGAATAAATTGGTCATTTTACTTGTTCTGTTATGTCCAGTTCTATCTTATCAAACGCTGAACAGTTGTTCTGTCCTGTCATGTCATGTCTAGACACCAAACACATCCTAAGTGAACAAGTAAAATGTGATCGATTTCGATTTCCAAACAGTAGAGAGATTCTCGAGAACCGAAATTAGTGCATATAAAAGCTAGCTTATGATCTTTTCCAATTTTACCTTGTTCTCTATTGTTCATTACGATATAGCATGCGTTCATTTTACTTACAAAAATGACACTGATGTTTTAGTCCGTAGATTAAACAAATTAAAATTCATAATTGATTCATAAAGTTGACATCAAGTACATAGTTAACAAATAAACTAACTATATATGTGTGTGTATGTGTGTGTGTGTGTGGAGGTTCAAACAACAACACCTTCATTTTACAATAAAGTGATAACACTCTTATCACATGTGATAATACGCTTGAGGAGACCCTGTGATGTGCGAACGACGTGTTCTACGACTTAGGTCGTGGCTAAGGTTGTCTGCGTTTATGATTTAGCATCACATGTAATGGTCTTAATGGATTATAATATCATATCAACAACACTCTTATCACATGTGATAATACTTGTGAGGCGGCTTAGCGGTGTAAGGGTGCCTTGGCCCACAACCAAGATCGCATCGAAAATCGTCTTCGTCTCTAATTTAGTATCACATGTGATTGTCTATAGTAAAAAGGTGTTCCTGCATTCTCGTAAAATTAAGATGTTCTCGTTTGAATCTTTCCCTATATATATACACATATACATATATATAGGGTTGGGAGAGCAGTCTATTTTCGTGAAACACATGAGACCACCTTTTTACACTTGAAGCTTCATAGCAAAACGTTGTGAAGGTAAAAAAAGCCAAGCCTTCATAGTAAAAATACTGTGAAAGTTACCTAAATAGCGTTATGCTGTAAAGTTTTAAGTGCAAAAAATGGTCTCACGAGTCTCATGAAAACAAGTTGGTCTCACATGATCTCAAACCTCTATATCTATTTATGTATGTGTATGTATAGGAAACTCTTTTTTACCTTTTTTATGTATTTAAAAAATAAAAATACAAACCAATCAATTACCACTTTCAGAACTTTCAAATGTATTTATATTCACAAAGTTTTCAACATCAACAACATGATACATCTCCTTACCAATTGGAATTTTCTTACGAAATATTTAGAAATAAAAAAATAAGTTTAGATTTATTTCAGAAGAAAAATAACAGAGAAATCAATAATCCACAAATTAAGATTAGCCATAATATCAAAACCCCATGAGTAAGCCTTCCATACCAAAAAAAAGAAAAGAAAAAGAAAGACCAAAATACCCTTCATATCACACTTCAACATAGCCCGTTATCGAATCCAACCAGACCCGACTCCACCCAATCGGGTTAACCGAGTCAATACCCGAACCACCACTATTGCTTTGCTATAAAGAACCGGCATGACTTGACCGACTCACCGGTTCTTACAGCAAAGCAACGGTTGACGAGCACGGTTCGTTCTTGACTCACCCCAAAAATTCTTTAAATAACACTATTATCATTCACATTTCACCACCATCCCACACCATCGAAACAACGGACTGCCACCATAAACCACCATGGAAATTATGGTGTATGACGGATCGTTATCGATCATACACAATAATTTCCGTGTCTCAAAAACCCTAAAACGCCATAAAATATTTAGCTGTCAGATGGAAGGGCCGCTTTGATCTTCTGAACCGTACACGATATCAGATTATTAACCGTCTCCACCGACTCCACCGTAAGCTTAGCGGTAGGAAGGCTATTCACAAGGATCTGAAACGCAACCGTCAATAGAGATCCACCAGCCCCACCACCACTGCCTCCACCAACCCCACCATTATCAGTCTCCGACACGCCACGATTACCAGGCCCATCCGGGACTATGGCAAACCCTGACGGCAATAAAGCAACATAAGCCGAATCACCGCCATTCATCACCACATGCATGGCCGGAATGTCCACCGGAGCATACACTACCAGCGACCCAGCCGCATCGATGCATGTTTCTTGTAGAATCAGCATACTGCTCTGGTTGGCATTCATTGCCTGCAACACAAAAATACAATTAACATGTATTTAAATTCTGTTTTAAAACATGTATTTTGTATATTTTTCGTAACAAATATATATATATTTATATCATATATAAACAAAAATAAAAAATATCTATATAGAAAAAAATGGTGATTGATTGTGTAGTCGCTGTCCAGTTGAGTCAACTGCTTCGGAAAACTTCCCAAAAACCAAAACGGTGACGTACGGTCTGCAACCTAGAAAGGTCTCTACTGTCCCCTCTCACATGCACACAGTGTGTGTGTGTGTGTGTGTTTTGACTTTCTGGATTTTCTTTCAGATGAAAATAATAACAATAATAATACCAACAAAATACAAACCTTTCAGTCTGTACGTTAGATCTGAAATAGACCCCTACTCTTTCCTTACACATGCGAAATTACCCTTTCGCCCCTGTCCTTTTTGGTAATATTACCACTTTTCCCCCCACCCAATCATGCCCATATATAAATAATTAAATAAATAACGTAACAAACAAAAATACAATCTGTAACACGTATTTGTTCTATGTAAACGTATCGAGAGATACATAGAAAGCTTACACTGGCACGAAGGAGGGAGACGCAGTTGCCGTGATCTTGGCCCTTGGCGATATGGGCCATTTCTTGCATCGGTCCTCCGTTGGACAAGATGTCCCATTCGCTCCGCAACCGTTCGTCACGAAGGAAATCGAACAGTCGTTGAGGTGACACCGGCAACCAAACCGAAGTGGCCGCACTTAAAACGATCCCGGGTGGCTCACCGGGGTCATCGACGCTTTGCCTTGTCATCACTCGAACATCTTCGTCGACGTTGTTTGCACAAAGTTTGTTCCATTTATACACGGTGGACGCGCAAACACCAGCGCAGAAATTATCTGTCATTCGTTGAGCTAGTTTCAGCATGCTCTTCCTCCCACTCGCTGTTATTGCTGCATTTCACAAAAAGGTGTACCGTACTCATGTGACATTGTACCATCTGAAAAAACCAGGTCACCAGGAGTACGAGTTTCGCTGTATAATATTTTACACACTCCGAAAAAGGTATACGTACCGGTGTGATCTCTAGAAGGCACGGCGGACGACATGAGAATGGCAAGGCATTCACATTGCCGTTGTAGGGCGGCCACCCATCGTTGCGCACCAAACCCCATCCCGGCACGGATCAACGGCCGGTAAAGCTCGTGCACCGCACTTTCGTCATATTCCGCATGTTCCACCCACGTAACCTTCAATACCCGGCAAACTCGTTAGAAACAAACATACCAAGTACATTTAAAATACTCGAGTTCCAACACATTTTTACGTATAAAACGGAGTTCAAATAGAAACATGGACACTTATTTTTGAAACAGAGTAAGATTCCGGGGTCGTACTCAACGTGTGTGTGGGGGTGTGTGTGTTTGGGGGTATGTATTTTCATGAATAATTATTGAACTCAAATCAAGCGTAGATGACAAATCTTGGAAATTGGCTCGATGAGAGACATAATATATTCATAGAAACCTAACTATCAATTCTCGTAAACCCGAAAATACGAATATTAAAACGTTCTACGGAGATTTATGCAATAAAATACGAAGAAAATGACACGAATACAGTCAAAGAGGATTGGACTACAAGACAGAAAGAAACTCAGAAAAATAGGAATAGAAACATCAAACCAATTGTTTAATACAACCCATGATTTTAACTACTAAAAGTAATCGGGATCAAGGCGATTTGAATAATAAATGTGTCTCAAGGCTCGGAAAATCGAGCAGTTAGATGTTTCTGTTCAATATTATAATGCAAAGTTGCAGGATACGATACATAAACTAATCGAATTCGATTTCGTATGCTTGATTTAAGGAGTACCGATGCTTCGATAAGTCAAAAACAGCATCTAAGACGAATAAAATAGCATTTCAGAACCTTCGTTTTCGTGTTTTTAAATTCATCTCCAGATGAATCTTGTCGACGAGAGTGTGCCTATTTATGTGATTAATCACTAGACGAGATAGACGACACACACATCACGAGGCTCGGGGAGGACTTGTACTGTATGCATTAAAAACTTGTACATTTGGGTACTAGATTACGATTCAAGGCTCCGAGGGAGTACAAGTGAAGTCACAGATGCAGAAGTTTCGATGAAGAACTTGTACCTCGTGCTTCTATTGTTGTACATTTACGAACTACGTTTTAAGGTCTCGAGTGAGGCTATTTATACCATCAAATGCTAAACAAGAAGAAACCGCAAGAGCTTCGGAAAGGAAGTTGTACATTATGCATACCATACTGTATGTTGTGCATTAGAAGTTGTACATTTAGGTAAGCATTCAAGGTTTTGAGTGATAAGATATGTCAACAAACTCATTAAAGACCAAGGCCAAGCATACCTACTTGTTAAACTCCATAAATGCTAAAGAAGGTTCAAATTTTGACTTTCTCAGGTCAAACCGATAGGTTTTAACTTCGGAACCGATAAGAATCGATATAGTTATCGAAAAGGAGCGACAATAACATCAGTCCATAGAAAGTTGTATGAATGAGTTCACATTTGGAGCTATCGAAACTGAAAAATCGATGTAAATGTCGAACTTTATGAAGTCAAAAGTAGACTCGATATTACCTTAGAATAGCCATTGGGCATATCTTGAACAACGCAACCGGAAGGAAGCCTCCGGCAACTCGAGAAAGCCGATGAGTTTTCTCGAATCGTATCAATCGAAACATCGACCACGGCCCACACGCCCTCCGCGTGTTGCTTGCAAAACCGGAGGAAATTGACCTCCCGGACAGGAACCAACGGGGATAAAACTTGTAACTCGGCGTGCATCTACGATTAGATTTCAAATTAGCGAGATGATCGCAGGCTATGTAACAAGAAAGAAAATCGAGATTTCGAGCCAAAAATTACCAATTGAAGTGCACCATTTCTGGTTCCTCCCATCCCATTTGAAATCACATCTGTTGTTGAAGTTCTAGCAATCATACATGGAAACATTTCTGCCCATTTGTTCTAATTAAACAAGATCGAAGATTAGATCATAATTGGGGGGGGGGGGGAATAAAGGGCGAATCAATGATAAGATAATCGATGCAAAATTACCGAATCCATGAGCGTTTCAACGAGAGCCAAGCTATTAATGATCACCATTCCGGTCTCCCTCGAGGCCTCGGAAACATACTCATTCGGTTTCAGCCCGATACACGGAGTAATAGCCCGTGAATACTCATTTTGGTTCATAATCTCACGGCCGCCTTCCAAGGTCCGAAGCCAAAGAGGCTCTTCAGTCTGAGCCAATTTGACCAATTCGTCCATAGCAGCTAAAGCAAGCTCGAGATACATCGATCGCTCAAGAGAATGATCGATTCCCATCACGTTATTATTTGCTCTTGAAGACGGAACCGAAGATGCACTGGAAATCCCGACACCAAAATCCGGTGGTCCTAAAGGCAATGCCGAGGCGGTGGAACTAAGGACTCGGCCTCCACCGCCAAAGTGGTTCCCGCCAACACCGAGTTCTAAACTCGAGTTGGGCATGGGAGGAGCCATGGAGGAGATGGGGTGGCCGAGGAATTTTCCGGCGAGCGCACAAACACGATCTAATTCATCTTTTAATCGGGCATTCTCGATCCTAAGATGTTGTTCTTCTAATGAGATATCACCGATCATTGCCGGACCACCACAATTCGTGCAAATTGGGTTCCTCATTGCCTCTCGAATCGACATGTTTTCTGCTCGGAGCTTATCGTTTTCTTGTCTAAGAATCGAGTTCTCGTGCCGTTCTAATTGCGTCTGGTGAACATGAAATCGAAATTTGAAACCAAAGTTTGAATCTTTTTGCCATAATTATCATTAAAAACATCAAATTTATTGAAAATTTGTTCTTACTTTCATCTGGGTACGACGATTTTGGAACCAAAACTTGACTTGTCGAGTCTCTAAACATAATCTTCTGCTAAGTTCCAGTCGTTGTTTTTCATCAGGATGAGGGCACTCTTTGAATAATCTGAAAAAAGAGAGGATGAAATGTCTGCTAAATTGGCGTTTTTGATTGAGAAAAAAAAAGTAAAGAAAAAAAGAAGATTGAATTCGTACGCTTCAAGTTCTTGGATTTGTTGAGGTGTATGACGGTGGTATCTTTTTTTTCTGGGTGGTTTTCCGTCGTCGGCATCGGGATCGTCACCGGAGGCGCCACCGTCCATGTTATCACTGCCAGATCTACTCTCGTGCTCCTCCTCACGGCTCCTTCTACCGCCACCTCCACCGCTAGTCTCGTAACTTTCCGGCATTCTTCCCATCTCACCAACCCCACCACCACCTCCACCGCCCTCCATCGTAGTTTGCTGGAAAAAAAAAAGTAGATCAGTTCACACACAGACACCACCCATTAGCGGTATAAATTTATGTGTTTTAGAAGAAATTAAAGAGAGAGGATTACAAGAGCAAGTGACAGGCCGGGAGAGGAGAACATGGATTTGGACATAGCACCGCCGCGCATATGATATGGAATATCGGCGACGATTCTAGCACCACCACCACTCCCTCCACCGTCGCCGCCGCCGTGACTGTTATCAAGAAAACCCCCAAAACTCATGAAATTTCACTTCACTTGTATTAAAAAAACCCAACTTTTTTAATCAGAAAAAGCCCAAACCCAGTTCAAAGATTCAACCCTTTTTCAACAATCATGACACAAATCCATCAGAAACACAATCAAATCTTTCTATGAACAGAAACATCAAAAAATGGGGGCTTCTCTCTGACACCAGTAATGGGTTGGATGAATTGGTTTTGTGGCTATCTATCTATCTATCTCTCTCTCTAAGAAAGGAAGAAGTGTAGAGAAACCCTAAGTGTGGGATATGGAGGAGCTATCTGCATGCTTGACTTTGGGTTTTGGATCATGAGCTGGGAGAGAGAGAGAGAGAGAGAGAAACAAAAAGATTTCTTGTAATTTGTAGAGAGAGAGAGAGAGAGGGGGGTGAAGAAGAAGGAGATAATGTGTGTGGAGCCTTCGAAGCCTTACAAATACAAAACAATCAGAAAAAGATTTACAGTAAAAAAGGGTCGGTTGGTTGACTCTTCACTCTTTTCATACTCTCTCTCTAAAAGTCTTTCTTTTTTTTTTGTTTTTTTCTTTTCTATTTTTACATTTAATTTCACATTTCTGTTAATAATTTTTTTTACTAAATTACATTTTTAGTCCTTACAGTTTATTGAAATTATGATTTTCATCCTTAATAGTTTATAGTTTATTATTGTTTTTATTCTTATGATTTAAATTTTATTGTCTTTTTCATTCGGTTTACAATTTGTTTTTAGTTTAATCTCTTATACTTATAAGTAGTAATTAACCTAAGAAACAAAAATAGAAATACATTTACAAACTATAGGGATGAAATTCATAATTTCTAGTAAATGTAGGGACCAAAAATGTAATATATTCTAAAATTTTATTACAAGTTTATAAGGAATGAGATAGATGGAGGGGTGTAAGAATTAGGTTTTAGGGATATGAAGAGCAACCACCATTATTAAACACATCAACATTTTACAGTTCTTATTATTCTTCTCTTGTATTTTTGTGTAAAATGGCATTATTTTCACTTTATATATATATATATATATATATATATATATATATATATTATTGGTGTTGAAGTAATTTATTGATCACAAATGGTCCAATAACTATGGCATTATTTTCAGTTTATATATATATATATATATTATATATATGGGGTTGGGTTCACGTGAGACCAAAGGTTTTTTGTGAGACCCGTAAGACCAATTTATGTTCATTGATCAACTTTATAAGCATATGATCTAATGATCTAAAGTTGTACGGTGACAATTTTGTAATTATTGAGAAGTCTCGTGGCATTTATGAATATTCAGATCTGACGATTGTATATTTAATCGAAGAATTGAGAATTGGTCTTACGGGTCTCACGAAAAACAATTGGTCTCACATGATCCCAAGTCTATATATATATATATATATATATATATATGTATGTATGTATTCATATTATTGGTGTTGAAGTAATTTATTGATCACAAATGGTCCAATAACTATGTTATTTTAGAAATTTTAAAGATTTGAAAAAGTTTTCTCTAATAATTATGCTAAATTATTCTCTAAAATAGAAAAAAAAAGATAATTTAAAAAAAGAGCAAGAAAATATAAAATACATGTTGAAGATATCTGATCACTTTTTATAATTGTAGACTTTTATGGTACTTCTTAATTTACAGAGTTGACAATTATATAAAAAGAAAATCCAAAAATGATAGAGATGATAAAAAAAACTTACAACGTATATTTTAAAACTTTCTTTAAAATAGAGAACGTAGAGGTGTTCAAAAACCCGACTAACCCGATCAACTCAACTTAACCCAACGTGAAATAACCCATCCCGAAGCAACCCGATGTCTAATCGAGTTGTAAAATTGTCAAACCGTATGTATTGGGTTGATATTGGGTTACTATTACTTGAACCCAATCCGATGAACCTGATCCTTTTATTTCTTGGATTTAATATGATTGTTGAATTTTTATTAATATATAAATTAGACAATTACACTATCATGTATGCTTTTCATATATACATATTTTCATTTTATTCATATCTCTACATAACTCATTCATATATATATATATATATATATACATATATATATATATATATATTCAGTAACTGTGAACATATATGTATATATATATATTGAGAAAATTAATTGAATGTAATATACATAAGAAATATGGATAAGTTGTATCAAATGGTTGATAATGAAAAAGAAATTATGAGTAGAGAAATAACATATTCAAGATTAGAATAATATTTTAATATACCAAAGTATCAACCCGACCAACCCGTACAGGTTGGATTAGGTTGCACTTTGGTTTGGGTTGGGTTGGGTTGAGTTAAGATTTTTCCAAACCGCAAGCATTGGGTTGAATTGTTCAAATGTCTTCAACTCAATCAACCCAACTCATGAACACCCCTAAGAGAAAGTATGATAAAATAATAAAAATTAATTTGAAAATTTGTTTAAACTTAAATGTTCATAAGATAAAAATTATTATTATTATCATCGGTACTATTCACTGAAATTAAATGTTTATAAAATATTATTAATTTTTCAGTATAATACATAAAAAGTATTTTAATTAATATTAATATTTTTAAAATAAAAATATCATTGGAATTAAATAGAATTTTGACCATTCTAAATTTTATTCTTAAAATATGTTGGAAGATACTATCATTATTAAACTAAATACTTAAAATGTGTTCTAATAAATATGTTGGAAGATACTATCATTACTATAAATATAAAAAATAAATTTTGATATTGATTTATATATAAAGGGTAGGTTAAATGCACCCCTAAACTATATCTACGTCTCTTCCCATCATGTGCTCGTCAAACAACTGACCTGCTCAAAATTGTCCTTCATGTTCGTTGATCGATCTTCCCTATCATGCTCCGTTTTCTTCCCTTGATCGATCTTCTTCTTGTTCATCGATCTTCCCTTAAACCTAACATATTCCATTTTCTTCCCTTCATCGATCTTCTTATTCGCTGTCTTCCCTTAAACCTAACATGCTTCGTTTTTCTTCCCTTTATCGATCTTCTTGTTTGGTGAATCGTTCTTCGTTGTTCATCATCGATTTCTCCCTCTCTTTTTGTTTGATCTTCACATATCTGCTCGAGATCTGCTTCTTTTTAATTAGATATGAAGATAAAAAGGTAACAGCTATGCTAGAGATTTACTTATCTTTATAAGGTATAAAAAAAATAAAAAAGTCAAATTAAATGGTAATTGTACATAATTTTGTACACTATAATGATAATTTATATCATAGAAAGGATATTTTGGTCATTTTTCGTTATTTCATTCCAACTCCTGAGCTAGATTTTATGAACCAAATAAACATATTCTAGTTCATTTCACAAATTACATTTCATATTGCCAACCAAACACCTGATCATACCTGATAATATTTCATTCCAATTAGTTCTAGATTCCAATTTATTTAACAAATTCCATTACCTCAAAAAACATTATGCGAACCAATCGTCCACTTGGTATACCCTTTTTAAATTAGGTAATGTAATCTAATCATCAATAAAATTAAATTGTTGATATAATGACAATTTTTTATGGAGACATGGTCTTAAATATGTTTTAAATTATAAATATAATGACAATTTATTATGCAACTCTTTACATTTGTACAACCAATACAACTCAATCTCAACCGTCCATTTAACTTGATGAATATGTGATTTCATAGAAGTTTTGATTATTTCCTAATATAAAGTATTGATTATAATTAATAAACCCTAGGCATTTTACATAAATATTCAAATCATAATAAATGAACTCTCATCATTTCCATAAATATCTCAATTGATTGGGTTGTACTTGTTGTACAAATGTGATGAGTTGCATTTAAAACGTCATCTCTCTCTCTCTCTCTATATATATATATATATATATATATATTAAAGTGAATTGTGGATTTGGTCTATATAATATGTTTATTGTGAATTTAGTCTTTATGGTATTCAATTTATTTTGATCATGATCTTTCAGACTAACATTTTTGTTAACTCCGTTAAATCAAACAATTTTAGCTTTTTACCTATTATTTTATCTTTTTTCTATAAGAAAAGTAAAAACATTTTTACACACACATGTATATAACAATATTAAAATAAATAAAATAAGATACTCTTGTATTTTTGATTTGTTTAATTTTTTTTAAAAATTAGTTATATTAAATACGATTTAATTTTATTGTTCGAAATGGTGGAAGAATATATTATTTTAATGTTTTAAATATAATTAAAAAATTTATTTAAACAAATCAAATCATAAATCCACATCTTATTTTATTTATAACGAATAAAATAAGATATAGTTTTATAATTTGATTTGATTTGTTTAAATTAAAAAAATATTATGTTAAAATTGATTTAATTTTATTGTTCTTTTTCTATTATTAGAATACAATAAAAAATTTATTATCGATATTTTAACACCAAAGTCATTGAAAAACCATTAAGAAATGAATTCCAATTTTATCATTTTAAAATTAGGGTTTCCAGTTTTCATATTGTTTTTTATTCAAAAACTCAAAGTCAATTATTTAGATTTAACCAAATGAAAAATTCATACATATTCTCATCTTTGTAACTTAAAATTGAATAAATATCTATATTAACTTCAACCAGATTTCGTACAGAAATAATCAAAAACAATAAAACAATAAAGTTAAATTGTATTTAATATGATTATTTTTTTATTTAAACAAATTAAATCATAAGATAATATCTTATTTCATTCATTTTGGTATCACACATATATATATATATACATATATGTGTGTGTGTGTGTGTGTAAAAATATGTTTTTATATTTTTATAGGAAAAAGACAAAAGACTAAAATGATTCTTGATTTAACAAAGCGAATGAGAGCGTTAGTCGGAGGGACCATGATCAAAACAAATTGAATACCACAAAGACCAAATCTACAATAAACATATCATAGGAACCCTAATAAAAAAATATTAAAACACAGAGATCAAATCCACAATTCACTCTATATATTATAATATAAAGATGCAAGTTTTTACGCATATAAAAACATGTTTTTATGCATTTAATGACGAGTTTTATATGTTAATTTTTTTTATTACGATATGTTTTAATACATATAGCAACTTTACATATTTTTTGCAACAATGCATACATTAAATCTAAAATTTTACACTAAATTATCCTAAAAGAGACATCAAAATTTGTATAATGAATAATAACACACCGAATATAATATAATATTATTCATTTCTACCAAATTTTGCATTAATGGAAAAAAAATCGCTAGAATCTTTTCATTTTGGTTAATATTTAGTAT